TCCGAGCGATCGTGATTTATTTCGTTAGGGCGTGATACTTCTTCGAACGCCGTCGTGTCCGTATCTTTGAATTCGTCTAATAGATTTAGGGCAGCTTTGGATCTAAGGGTAGCTGGCGTAGGTATAGGTCAACGACAGAGGGGCGCGAAAGGGCTCGGTCGCTATGGAAACCCTGGCGCAGCGCGTTGACTGTGGGGTGCCTCAAGTTTTTTATGGGCTGGACGATTGTCGGAGGGTCGAGGCTCTAAAAATCGTTACACAGACCTAGATATTCGCCTCTCCTCGACGCCCTCCCGTTGAGGATGCCTGTATTCCCTTCGGCTGCGAACTTTGTGCAATTAAATACGTACATACGTTCTAGTCTTCTTGTTTTAAAAAAAAAAATAGAGAGAACTAATTTTATCAAAATATACATTTTGAATATCTTGTAACGGGATAGAAATTGAAATTTTAATGAGAACGAACAGTCTTCAATTAAAGATAATAGAGCCATCTAGTTTAATCAATCAATTGATTTCGACACTATTACCTTCAGAAAGTTTCCATTAATTTGGAATCTCCAATAGCTAACTGAATTTAATTGAGAAATGGCGCCTACACGATTCTCTGGAGCATAGTTGATTTAGCTCTCGGTGTTGTAGGATTAGGGTGAAGGAACCCGCACGACCTAGCTAGCTCAATTGATCAGCTCAGTCGACCAGTAAACGGAAGGTTCCGGGTACGATTCACGGTTCGGTAAACCACCCTTTTTCCCCGGATCTTTGTCCAAACACCTAAGAACTGCCCCAAAATCCAACCCCGACGAACAGTCGAACACAGATCAAACACGGGGAGCGTGTTCGAACGGTTGTAGGCTGCGAGCTAATTGTAGATTAAAAGCATGGTAGAAGGGTGTATCCTGGTGGTAAAACAGTATCGTCGGATGCCGATCCACCATTCCCGGTGTTCGCGTCACAACCGGGAAAGTAGCGGAGTTACGGCCGACACGCAACGACGCTCTTTCCCGTTTTATTCGTAGGGTGGCAATGCGCTTGAAGCCTCGGCTGCTGCAAATTCGCAGCCCTTCATCGCTTTACGTCCTCTCCCGGCTTCTCCCTCCGGGGAGCTTGAAGGATATATACACGTATATATACGGAATATTGCGAGAGAGCACCACCACGGCACGGAGACCGATGGGAGAGATCGTAGGAACCGTCGCTCGTATTTGCCCCTGGTGCTGGAAGAAAGGACGAGAGAGGAAAACGACGCCGGGGTTTGGTACCCTCCACGACTCTCGGGCTCTTTTCTAACTCGAAGGGAGAAGAGAGGACGGATCGAGAAGGGTGCAAGGGAGGGGTGGATGGGCGAAAGGGTACTAGGTAGGGGTGGCAAAGGTGGCAAGGGACGGGGAGGCCGGCGGAGAGGGTGAAAGGCGAAAGAGAGATGGAAAGTTGGTTCGTGCTATAAAGTATTGACTGACTGTTGTACAGCGAACTATATGTACCCCCGGCTCTATAATACCGGGCAGAGTTCACTCGGCCCTCGCCTCCAGCCAGGAGGAATAATGCGACTTCCGGAACCGAGGAAATACCTTTCAGCTTTTTAAGAGCTCTATGCCGAGCGAGAATCCGGCCGAAAGGAAAAATAAAAGGAGCGAACTCCGGAGTTACAGCTTGCTCGTTCGTTAATACGCGTAATCATGTTGGATACCATCGTCGGGGTCAGCCATGACCGAGGTTGTCGGTTAAAGGGATGAGCCACGGGTTTGCTCAACGGACACCTATTTGTCATTGCTTCCTCTAATCGTGTATCACATTGTTGGGGCACGGCGCGCGCGTGATAAACGAGCGCAAGAACTTGGCGTATTCTTTTGGATTACGCAGTTTCCTCCATGTTGAGCGTGAGATCTTCGAACGAACTTTCTTGAATGTAGCACTGGTTGTAAGGTAAATTCGAACCAGACAGTTGTTTAGAAATGATGATTAATCGACCGTTCCACGGTTATACGCGTGTAATACCCCGTGGTTAATGTGTAACGATCATTGAACCAGGTTCGCGAGAAGTCATCTCTCATAATCACTCGTTAAAAGATTGCCCCGGCAATTCGTACGTTACGGTAGTTATTTGAGAATAATAATTCTTGACGGAATTGATGGTTGTGCGTGATGAAGCCGGTGCTTCTACCTACGCCGTGGCGTGAGATGTCACGGCTCGTGGTATCTCTATTTCAAAATTAATGCGATAGACTCACGCTGGGAGTACGATTGAGTTACGCGGATGCACGGAAAAACTGAACTCGTTGATGTATGGTGTTTACTGAACTGTACTGCGAAATGCAGGTGGTGAAAGTCGTAACGTAACCGGTACGATGATTAAATGTAATCATCACTGTCATTCCTTGATATATTCTGCTGTTTTTTCTTCTACGCTTTGCAGTTGTTCGAATTATACGAACAGTCGATGAATCTTGCTTAATTCTTCGCAGTGCAAATGACAAAATATTGCAACACGTCTAGTCGGGGCGTTATTTTTTTTTATTGTAAATTCGATACCATCGAGTCACGGAATTACATCGATTATTTGTCGGATACGTAGCTAGCTACCAATCATTTCGAGTCGGCGCGACGAGCCGGAAATTCAAATCCCGTCGCCATTAATTGTACATGTAAATGTTAATTACTGGCGGTAAATCGCGCGCGACTGGAAAAAGTTTAACCGTGCGGGTGATCTCGATGAGCGTTCGTCGCGTCGTCGATTTTAATGGGCGTCTAGCGTGTGTGTACGAACGTCCGCGCACGAATGCGCTCGAAACGGGATGTTCGGCCTAATTACCGCGTTTTATCAATAGGGATTCTTCCGCGCGGCCGTCTAATGGAGTGTCTAGGCACTGTAATCTGTAGTGGGAAGCACGTGACACAATTTCGAAGCCGGGTTCGTCGACCCACCGCATACTCGATTGCGTCATTGTCGCTGACGTTCTCTACGCGCTGAGCCGATGCGATGTGCCAGCCGCGTCTCTGCCGTCGAATTTATGACGTTGCGATCCACACGACGACGTTTAAGTTCGCACGCAACGTATACCGTGTCGTTTGCTAGCAATCGCCTTACAATTTTATAAAATCAGCGAAATTGCATCTAAATTTACGATTTTATCCGGTATGGTATCTCTGTCTTTTTCAGCTTGAAAAAGGGAGAAAGCATGTACCTACAGCTATAAGGACAAATCGTGAATCTGGCCTCGGCTTTCGAGCGGAATCGACCGGATTCGACTTCAGAATTCGAGGAATTCCTCGCGGGCTATTTTTATTGTTATTATGGAGGAACGGTGGGTAGTGGAATGTTATATTTGACATTTTCCCGAGTTAATGTTCCTTGATTTGATATTTGTGGTTTGTGTTCGAATTGAGGTTGTTGGTTGAGGATATGTTTTCGGATGAGATAGAAGAAGAATAACAAAAAAGATATTCCTAGAGAATATCATTCCAGGGTTGAGTAGTCACGTATTTCTTATTATATTTAGAACCATTATTGCTTGCTGCCTCGTGATTGGATTTAGGTAATCCTTTATTTAGTCGGAGAATCTAATCCGTTAGATATTTTTTCCATAGACATAACAACTGAGATTTCTTACTCTTCATCAATCAACTTCGGAAATCTACTCGTTTCATACTGATCGCTTAGGGGAGTTTTGCGAATTAAAGTGATAAAGGTCAATAAGCAGAGAGAATATAAGTCCAATTTATAACACGTCACAACTTGAATTAAGGTATCAAGTAAATTTCGCCATTAGTTTAACCCTCAGTCTTATTCCTTCATTCATGTTGCAATAATAACAGATTAGAGAATAATTCTTGAATGGACATACATGAAAAATAAGATTGAGAAGCGTTTATTAAAGAACAGACTCTCGCTGGCAGAAATAAGGGAATGAAAGAAATATCGTGGTAGGAACGATTAGTTTGCAAACCGGCAATTAACCGGTCACGCGTCGTTTCCACGCGTCCCATTAACCGGTCGAGTTTGTACGTACAGTTGAAAACACCCCGTATATCCCAACGCTGACACCGTCGCCGCGTCAGACCCTCCTCCCTTTGATTTAATCCGTTCTCCCTGTTCTCTTTATCCCTCTGCGGCGCGAGGAGCGCGTGCAGCGAAAAAAGGGAAGGAGAGAGGGTGCATTGGGTAGGGTAGGAAAATGGTGCCAAGTGCACAGTACTGGGGCATCGACCAGCAGTCGTTCGCGATTGTCGTATATCCAATACTCCTGGCCATTTTCCACCGGCACCTCGATACCAACCTTTCTGAAAAAAGAATCCATTACGTTTAACGATCATAGTAATCATAGTTTGTAAGCGAATCAATTAAATGATTTCTAAGTTTCTTGGATAATAAAATTTAATAAGATCCTTTAATTTATATGGTTACGTGCATCTTTTTTGTTTTCATGAATTTTGTAATTGGACTGCAAATTGTAGTTCGAATACTTTTAAATTGCAGTGGACGTAGGATCGTGATTGAAACACGAACGCGTGGAATTCTCGCGATTCCTTCCCCTTTCAGAGCGTTCGGAATTCTTCGACTACGCGCAATCACGGTAACGCCGAAATCGTGTTTGCTGTGCGCGAGGAAGTCGTCTATATATTCGCGTCGGCCACGGAATTAAATCAATGCTCCCTAATGAGCACTTCTAAATCGTCGGTAATGCTCGCGGCTGTCATTCACCCACCGTAATCACGATCATTCGCCGGGTTCTTTGTTGTCGGCCCGGCGTATTCCCCTGGCTACCATGAAAAGAACGACACGGTAATCAAACGCCATCTCGACGCGCGCGTTACTCCCCCGACTTTCGCGTTTATATCCTTCTCGCACGATGTTGAACATCGATTTTCTCATCGGCATTCGCACAGCTTCCTTCGGATCGCTTCAAGAATCCACATGTTGATCCCAAAAGTTGTCAATCGATCGAAGAAAAATTCCGTCGATCATACCCGATTATCGATCCTTAGAAGTACTTACTAGTTATTGGAAGGAATCGGAATCAAGCAAGATTTCGATACATCTTGGAAATGATTGAAAAATGTTCAACCTTGTTTATTAAATTGTTTTCGCTTATCATGAAACCGTCAAATGATATTTCGGATTCATTTATATTTTCCTTATAGACAATTTAGTAGCTGGCAAATAATTCAACTCGGTCGGTGGTGTGTGCCTATAAGTCGAACGTGTAGTAGAGGCTGTTTAGGAGGGAAGCTGCAGACTAAACAAAAATAACCTCTTGCGGCGTGCACGTTGCCGTTGGTGGCTGCCACCGAGAAAAGAAAGTGACATAAGCATATTTCTAGTATGAAGAAATCTAACGTATCTCCCCAGTGAACACATCTCGGACGTACATATACTGAACTCGTTTTGAAACGGGTCTCACCCGTAGCTTTCTGTCTTTTTTTTCCTTGTATTTCCTTCCCCCGATTAGGAAAGGGCTCTATTCTGATGCTCACTCGTGTATGCTCGTCGTGCCTTTACGCTGAATCGGCTCCGTTTCGTTTTGCTTCCTTTTCAGGCATGTCTACGCCTAAACCGCCGCGACAAATTTCTCGTGAACTGTTATCGATATTAAAAAGAAAAAAATAGAGGAATTATTTCATAATCAAAGTACGTTCTGTTATAAGCGAAAAAATGTTGGCCCGATATTTGGACATAGTGAAACATAAAACTGACGTTGGTGAAGTACAGTCGTACGTGTAGATACGGAAGTTTAATGATATTGTGGAAATCGCGGAGTTTGATTTTCGACTCGGGGAAGAGTTATAAAGCGAGTCATAAATTTCGTCGGATATTAAGCAGGATTTAAGGATGTATTGGCTATACAG